AATCATAATCATCCAAAACTTTATCGTTGTATATGCAGTTAGGGTCGTTAAAGGATCTATCAGGATCAGAAGAAAAAGAGAGCAGCTAAACGCAAGGATAGAATTGACAAAGTTTTGGATGATTATGATTACAATGATACTAGGGATGAATTTATTAAGAGAATTGATCTTAACGAAGATGACCCAAATACTGGTCAGATTTTAAAAAAGAGTCTAAGCGAAAACGTAATTATGGGATAGACTTTCTAAGAATAAATTTAATGAAGATACCCAAACTACGGCAAGAGTCTAATGAAGATGTTTCAGTTGTTGAAGAAGAGCCTATTCAATATGCTTTAGATGCTGAGTCGGTTATTGTTTTCGAAATGGTATTGGAACACCGATTGATATGGTAAAAGCCAATTTTTGGTTTCGAATGGAAAAACAAGAATTTTAAACAAATTATTAACTCAAAACATGTATGTGATAGCTAATTCATATGATTGTCAACCATTAAAATCAATTAAAAAAAATCGATATTCAGTATAATTTCTTTATGCAAATATCTTCAGCTGTTGTTTTTAATGCAAAAATCAACAATAATATCACCATACCTTTGGTTATCTTTCCGTTTCTGTTGGATAAAGATATTGTAATTTTATGAGTATGTTAAAGGCTCAAAGGAATATCTAATGTCTAGTTTGACTAGGGTAAATTCTAAAAAAAGCAAATGAATTTAAAAAATATCATTAAAACGTTTCTTAAATTCGAAAATTTTTAATGAGTAAAGAAAGTTATTTTCACAATCTAGTGCGCAGTATAAATGATAACTCAGACAATACTGAAATATATTTTTTTTTGTTCTTTACTATTTATCGAAAGGCTTCATCATATTTGGTGTCTAACGAAACTTTGGCGATTGATAAAATTCCTGACAATTGATGAAACTCTTGACGAATCAATTTGACCAATAAAAAAAATCAAAATACAGTTATTCATCATTTAATGGGCTTCTTTATTATGAATTCCAATTTTCAAATTATTGTCATTTAATTAAGTATCGTTAGCTATCGATTTGATATAAAAAAAAAAAAAATCGACTGTTCAAAATTAATCTCATAAAATATGCATTGCATGGAGTTTGAAGCGAGTAATTAGTTTTCTTTGTTGAATCCGACGGATACTTTCGAATGGTTAATGCCTTCATCGGGTAATGTCAAATGTATCAAACAAAAAATAGGGATTGGATATATGATTATGCAAATAAAAAAAAATTTCACATGAAAAAAAATGGTTTGACGAAAGGTTTTATATTGCCAATGACAACTTTCGCCATTTGCCAGGCATCTTTAGTGTAGTCGCTTGTATTCTAGTTAGCAGGGCACCCTCTAAAAACCAGTATCACTTGAAAATCAGGATCACAGGATCACTTGATAACATAGCGCTTCCAATAATAATTGCACATATGCTTTACAAATACAGTTTTTATTTCGCTGGGGCAGTGAATTATGCATAACAATAGATGCTGCATCCGTGAGGCGAACCAAATGATCCGAATTTTTAGAGGTCATCGTTTGGATTCTTTGTTCATTCATGATCTACTGTTTTTTTTTTTTTTTCAAATTAATTCCAGAGTGATGATAACATGATCAGCTGCTTGGCTGATATGGATATCTGTCAATTGCACATCGTGCCAATATAGAATCATAATATGCACCAACTTAACAAACTATTAAAAAAAAAATTTTTTTTCCGTCACAACCGAGGCTGCCCTCAGCACCACTGCCGCAGCATATATCAGATACAAAAACCAAAATTTTGCCTTTGTAAATCTGACATTTTATTCACATTATTCCTCTATATGCTGCAACAATAGCGTTGCAAATTTATGAACTGCACTTTGGGGCAACCCTAGCTGTCTCTGAATCTGTTTCCGCATACTTTATCTGTTATTTATCTCTTATTTGATATTCTAAATGCATTTATATAGTAATTTAACTTATAATAATTGTATAATCATTGCTATTGTATACATATACATATGGGCTGCTATCAATAGAAATAAGACAAATTTCTAATAATAAATCGAACACACGATATTTCTAATAATAAACATATTTCTATTGACGGCAGCTCATATGCTGAAACTTACGGAGTGAATAACAATAATAGAGGATGATCTTTAATAATGCATAATAATGTTGATTGTGATGAAAATAGCTACACTTAGTCGATACCAGTTTCAATGAAACCTTACTACTTCGTGAATAGAGAAGTACGCAATTAGCACTTTAGTTGAGTTATTCTTAGTTATGCTATCGGTGTCACCCCTACGTGCCTAAAAAGAATTCCGATTTCGATTAATCAGCCGATGAAAATGAAAACATTAACACAAAACACATGTATGCTTAATTGGTCATTTATGTGATCGTGGAAAGGAATTTGGCATCTTTTTTTTCTAGCAAACAAAGAGCACAAATACAAGGTGGGAATTGCTATTGGCTGAGGAGCCTTAGTTGTGTTTATGATACAATAGTTATCAAATCGATCTAATCTCTAAAGATGAAATACTTTCATGCATGATGAATTAAGTATAAATGGTATTCTATTGTTGGTAAGTCATTCTTAAGAATTTAACCTTAGAAGTAGCAGGGATGAAATCTTATCAGCTCTAACTCATGTAATAATATCACGGATAAGTAGGATAAGTACAATTCTATTTTTATTGATATTTAAAATTTTCTGATGTAGAATGGTTTATTAGTTTGAATTTAAAGACGCGTCAAATACACAGCCAAGCACATGCATAATCAGCATTTGATTGGACAGCCCTTTATTCTATATCAAATTCCTTTCTAGACGATATCCTCCATGCATAAAAAAAAACTTAAAATGTTCTTTATTTCATGAACAAAGAATTTCTTTTCTTACTTGCACGAAAAAATATAAACGTTCGTGTACCTGCATATGTTTTTTTATTTTATATACGATAATTCACTCATCTATTAATCGAATTTACTTCCAGCTGGAATATTCGGAGATTGAAAATTTATGGCTCACAATATTAAACATTGAAATATAGTACAAAATTTAGAATAATATTATCATTTTGTTTAGACCAGGTTCGGTGGCACGTGATCATAAACCAATTCCGGCTTTGCCGATCATGATTACATAATATCTGCAGCATTCATGTATATGCGCATTGACATCACACGTGCGGTCAAAGTTCAATTGTTATTAAAAAAAGTTAGCTTACTTTTGTTAACGTAAGTACGTACGTACGTACGTACAAATGCGATTGTATTGTGCTTTGATAATTTTGATAGTTTATTAATTTTATTAAAAAAACTATCGGGACAAAGATTTGGTCACTAACACCAACTATAGTACAGAAGAATAAAGATTTAAATGTACACCAACCATTTCTCTTTAAGAAAGACTGATTTAATGATCAGACAAGGCCAATGAATCTCCGTTAAGTTTCCTGTCAATTATTGATAAATGTAGATTTTAAGGTTCTTTGTGTAATTACAAGTATGCAGATTTATAAGCAGAATAACATTAGCAGTTACACGAATTTCTTTTCACACTTACTTAGTTAAATAAGAAATGTCTCATTACATATATGTTTTCTGCCAAATGTATAGTCGAAATATTCTAATAATGGAATGATTATACATCAGAATACGTATAGCTGACCTCAAGAATTGAGGCTTGCAGCAATTACCAATTGAAATAATTCTGGGTACAACTTTTTAAATCTTAATAATTTTAATAAAAAAAATAATAAATGAATGTCAATACTTTTTAAATAAAACGTTTGAGTAACTTATTAATTCATTAAAACATATTATGTATAGTTTTTACAGTCGATATTCCGAAAAACAGTAAACTACTTTATAATCAAATAAAAACAAAAGAAAGGATTTATATGACTTACAAATACTGTATATGTTAGTCATAGTCGTAGGTAAAACGGAAACCGTAATTTTATACTAACAATTGTTGCGTTATCTTCTACGAAAAAAAAAAAAAACATTAAACATTTGTATAACGAATATGTAAATTTTGTTACTTCTACTCTTATTGTATTATTGTATTTTTTTCACCTTACCCATTTTACTCATTGTTAATCTTATTGTCATTTAGGCGGTTACGGCTAAACCAATAATCCTAATAGTTGTTTTAAATATCGTGAGAACGATTCAGAAATAATAATTACACTAAGGTCTTTGTCTTTGGTACTCTTTGTCACCATATTTTGTAGAGATATGCAGAGATTTTCATTCTTTAGTTGTCCGTGTTTGGTTGCTTGCCGCCATCATGTGCATTGTTAATTCTCAATTTGGCTCACAAGATGTAATGGGTGACTACATACTCGTGTAACCTAATATCATGTGTTCTTTGTCAAATAAATAATTCGCGTCAACAACGATAGTGACAATGAAAGTTCAAAGTCAAATCATATAAAAGACTTTCAAGCTTGAATATTGCCATCAGCGAACTGTCAAGTTTTTGGTTTTTCTTTCACGTTCTTTCTCGTAGTTTCTCTTTCGCGGTTCTTACGCAGTATTTTGCTAAAGTAATATCCGCTCTTAAATTTACGGTACGGCTTATACTCAAACTTTAGAGCTTGAAAGTGCTTCCAATTTTCATGATTATATGCTCAGTAGCAAAAGGAACCAAATAGACTGCATTCATTTTAAAGTATAATATAGAGAATCTCGAAAGACGGAAACTAACATAAATAATATAACAAGATCATGGATTATATTACCACAGACAACAAAACAGATAGCAATGATAATAATATTGACTATTACAACAATTTTATCATATTTAACGTTGTTCACCTAAATCGTGCCTTATCAACAACGATTGTCTTCATTTGGTCTCTTTATTTTGTTCTTTCCCGACCTACTCCAACTCAACAAACTCCTGTAATAAGATGTATTATGATAAGCTCACGTGGCATTGGAATAATTTTATTGTTCATTTCAATGGTTTTAGAAATTGTTGCAAACCTGATAGCATTTACAAATAGTAATAATCTTATTAATCCTTCACTCGACATATTAACCGGTGCTCCCTTAATCATCACTTTGGTTCTATGGAATTCTGCTTTGGCACTTAAATCTGTATCTTTATTTATTGCTCTTACGCGTTATGCACCACTCACAAAAGCTCTTTCAAAAGAACCAATAATGTCAAATTTTCAATATTCATGTTGCAATTCCTTTAACTTTATTAGTGGTTTGATAGTATATCCTGTACTTTATGTTGTTATTCTTCTCGCAAAATCAAAATGGGAAGCTGCCTTGACTATGTCTCAACTTTTCTTTATGTTCCAACTCATAATTGCTGAAATTATGTTTCTTATAGTAAATAAGCGTATGAGTATTGCATTGGATGAAGGTTTGTTAATGGGAAGAAGCGCAATTCAACGAGTGCGAAAACTCCGTTCAAGGAATTGGATTATTATAGCTTTTGTATTGGTGGAAATTTGTTCTTTATCTATCTATAGCATTGACCTCTTGACAAAGAATGCGATTCGATCAAATTTTGCTGCCACTGTATTGATTCTTGGAATAATGTTCATAAGTTCTGCACTTGTGTATGGCGCCATAACCCTCATCTTGTGTCCGGTTTACCCACAATGTCCACTTTCTTGTGAAGTATCGGAAACAAATTCCACTATAACTCATCACATAACGGCTCACAACCATGCCTTAAATAATTTGACTAATCACGCTGTAGATAAAAATAAA